AATAGATCTGTTATGCTTGCAAAGTCAGTGAGAGACTGTTAGCACAAACCATGCAAACACTGGTCACATGCAGTTAGCCTTTCTCAAGGGCTTATGTAAGTTCATACAAAAGTTTTTTCACCACAGGTATATACATTTTTGTCCTTTTTTTTAGATTTAAGCAAATCCCATTACTTAAATATTTCCAAACCCCCCTACAAAATTATGCTGTTGAAGGGATATGTAATAGAAAGAGACCCTTCAAAAAAGTCCCTACATAATCCATTTGTGTGTAGATAAGTTCCATGAACATTTATAAAGCTAGAATATGCTTTTTGTTTTGTTTTTTGGACAGTACAATTTTTTTTCAACAACAATTGAATATAAATTTTATGAGACTATAATCAGTGGGTCTACTCAGACATGCTATTCTATTTAAGTGAGGGTATCACAATCTGGCCACCTCTGCAAGGTGGCTGCCAGTCCTTGAGGTTCTAATCATAGGGTTCTAACCATACACAATAGATTGGTCTTTTGAGTGGGAACATTCAGCCTTATTGAGGAATCCTAGCTATGGGGCTTTTAGATAACGAGAGTATATCCCACTGGGAGTTTAAAATCCCCAAAAAGAAAGCAGAAGGGTAGCGAACTGTGAAGGACGAGTTGTGAGCCAAAGGCAAACTGTGAGCTGAGTAAGCTTGTAACCAAGGAGGACCAGGCCTCTGGGCTGCGGCCAGAGCCAAAGGGCTCGCCTCCAAGGGCCTGGAACAGAGTAGAAGGATTTGGATTTGTTTATTTGTTCATTTATTTGCTGCTCAAAGACTATGTTTTAGTTGGAGGAGTGGCTGAGGAGTTCTTCAGGGAGCAGAACCTGGCTGCAGAAACCTATAAACTAAGCATCCTGTTTACACTATAACTTATTTTTCTTTTTCTTCTTACTATTATAATTATTATAATTATTATTATTATCTGGCCCTTCATTCAATCAGAAAAGATATGTGTGCTGTATCTGGTTCTGCATCTAGAGCTTGTTTTGATTCCTTTTCATTTTTTTTGCTTATCAATATTCAACCATATGGTTTTACATATGAAAGATGAAAACACAAAAAGGTGGAGAAATATGGGCCATTTCCCTCATAAAGCACTGGCAGTACTTATTGCTGCATGTGAGTCATAGTTCATTTATAATATTAAACTTATATTGTAACTAGCATAAATTATAGCCTTTCTGCAAGTTGCATGACACAGAATTTAATTATCTTAGCCATTTGTCACCTAATGCAAAACAAATGCACTCTATATAAGTCATGAATAAAAAGGAACAGGAAGGTATGCATTTCATAATGAGTGCAACAAAATTGACAGTTGTCAATAGTAGTGCAGTGTATCAGAAATACTTCAGACATGAAAGATTGATTATGTTTTATTCATGCAAAATAATTCAGTGCATAGACATTATCATCAGATAGCACACAGAGATGAAACTCTCCATGGAGAAACCAAATCAAAATATTTTATGAGTCAATTCATCATAAAAGATGGCAATTTTGGAGTATGAAGAATTCTTCACAAATAAACTTTTGATGGTTCTGAATACACCTTATTGGGGTGGACCAAGTTTGCACCATGGGTTTTTAAACTTGTTGTTCAGTGCAGATATTGTTCAAAGAACCATTCAGGACTTCCTACACAACTTTAAAAGGGTTGCTGTTGCAGGCCAGTATATTACCGATCACATTATAGGCTACAGTATAAATTTGTAATATATCTTGTGAAGCAGCCCAGGAAAGATAGATTATGATTGAGGAATGACAGTCTCTTTCAGGTCTTCATAATACAAGAAAGAGCAGACATTATGATAGGTCACACAGACACTTTCCAACATGCTGGCATAATTACTCTAATAGGTGTTTTAGTGCTGGGAGGTTGCAAGAAATTGAGCCTCAGCACACACCCAGCACAGGCTAGTGTAGCAGTTCTCTAAACCATGCTTTCTCAGACTGCTCCTAGCAGTGCTATGGTGAACTAGTACAAGGCAGGAGGAGGGCCCTGCAGGATACCCTCTTTTTCCTAGAACAAACACAAATAAAACACAAAGGCTGATCCAAAATCTGCCATATTATTGTATATGATTGCTGCATATTATTGTAGATTCTGCTACAGCTGAACATTTATTATTCTTTCCACTATGAATTGATTTTCTGGTGTTTATAGCCTGATCATAAATGCAGACTCATCATCTAGCTCAGCATCTAAAGTAGGTGACAGCAACCTAGGATGATCCCATTTTTAATTTTTTAATGGTGAAAAGAAATCTAGACATTTTTGAAGTTCTCCCTATAAATGACAGTTATGCATTGTCTATTACAGGGGAAAAAAGATATAAGTAGATGCTAAGATTTGATGCTAAGCTACAACTAGATGCTAAGTTGGTACCTGTCCTCCTGATGAAGAATAATTGTAACTATCGTGTGTGTGTGTGTATATATGTGTGTATATATATATAGATATGTAAAATACATAGCAGACAAAGTGATTTATTTCTTCAAATATCTGATATGTAATTGTTAATGCTTATCCCATCAATTCATCATCATTGGCAGCCATCGGTCTCAGGAGACCACAGGGATTGTGCCTTTACTAGGTTACCAAGGACTACCACAGTTTCTCTGAGTGGCCGAGGAGTCCGATGAGGGACAGGCAGACCCTCCAGCAAGTTGCACATACAAACTCAGTTGCACATACATCAATTAAAACAACAAAATAAGCAAAGGATGGCCCCAAAATCAGTTTACTTCAACTCACACCTTTTGTAGCAGGTTTGGATAAAAGAGAAAATAGTAACACGCTGCAGTGTGCCTCAAAAGTTATCGAGCTTGGGCTCCAGAGAAAGGCCAGAGCTAGTACCACAACAGGAGAACCTTCAAAGAGAACATGCTGCAACTCTACTGAGGGAGGTCCAGCCTGCTGATGGTAATATGTCACAGGGAGAGAGGCTATCTAAGCCATATATAGGGTTCTTTAATTTAAAAAGGTATTTATTGGGCATACACCCAAATTCATGTAGCAATATGTACTATTGTTGATGTCTCAGGTATCTGGAAGGAATATTTTTCATGTAGGCACACCGGTGTACAGTATTATTTCAACATATTTCTGTGAAGCATAGAATATAAGTTAAAACTGGTGTCTGGTTACAACAGTTGATGGCTTAAATAGGCTCCTTCCCTATAGTAAATCTTATAATGAAGATTTTCAGAAGTGATCTTGAAGTGATTCTCAATCCAAATGCCACAAGATCCTAAGGGTGCCACGGGGTGTTGCACAAAATTAGCACTGTTGGATGTGCAAGAATCTACAGATGATTCACAAGATAAACTCAGAGGCCACGTCCCCATGAGCAGGAACGTGCAGTTTGCGGTGCCTCAAAGGCACCGTAAAACATGTGTGGCGCTTGTGCATGATTCCATTTGTCATGCTGCAAATACAGCAAAATTAGATACTGGGAAATCCTGGTACCTAAAAACCCTGCAGCAGAAAAAAAAGTGGGGTGGTGCATATGGCTGCAGCATGTGCCACCTGAAACCAGAGCCTGGCCGGCCAGATCCATGCTCTGGCTGCCAGCCAGGCTCCACGCATCCAGATCACCACTGCTGCAGCCCTGGAAGACCCGCAGGATCCCAGGTAAGGTTGCTGGGCCAGCCCAGGTGCTGGCCCCAGCCTCCCTTACCCCACCTGAGGCAATTTGCCAGGCACCAAGAGCATGCATGCAGGGGCATGCCGGGGGACACCTAGCAGTAGCACAAGTATGCTTTGCTGTTTGTCCCTGGGGAAACGCATGTTCCGGCTTGTGGGGACATGGTCTAAGATTTCAAATAGAAATCTATGTTATCCAAAGCAGAGCCCTTAGAAACAGAACGGCTTTGTTATTCTTCTGTTGTCCCAGAATGACTGAAAGCAAAAAAATGGTATTTTCAGAAAGGCACCTTTAGTCTAGCAAAGGGTGACTTGAGCCTAAAAAGGCAGAGAACCTTTGGACTAGACCTTCTGAGTCTCGGATGCTCAACCTGAGGCAAAGTAAATGTCTGATTTTCACAGGGTAGATACCAAGCACCCAAAACGGGAAAGCGTCCCAAATCAGCAATGACTTCCTGGAATCTTTGCCAGTAGACTTAGTGCTAAATAGCAGGATGGACCCTGACAGCATAATAAAAACAGGGTGCTCCCTCCACCCCACACACACGCACACTTGGGAGTTTGTTTAGATGGGTGGCTCTCAGCCGCAGCCCGCCTAGGTGACAACCTGTTAAAACATTTTTTAAACGTATGCAGACAGTAAGCGGTGGGGGTGCGGCCCACGTAGCATGTCGAGAGCTGCAAGCATGGCCCACTACGCTAAGGTCCGGTTTGACTATCCCAAGTGTGACACACCACCGAGATGCCAGGCCGAAGGCCTGCCTTCCCTCTACCCCGGGGCAAGGAGGTCTGTGGGCAACACCTGACTGCACCCGCTGCCCAGTAGGGACAGGCCTACGATGGAAACAGCTTTGTGCCACCATAAACACGTGCTGGAGGGCGCGGCGGCCAAGCGGCCAGACGCCCACCGCTCTCAGCACAAAGCAGCCACCCCAAGCCGGTGACTGATCATCATTTTGGTGCGGCAGACGCGGGCTGGGCACGGCCGGGGATGACGTCACCCAGGCCGGGCCTGCCTCACCCGC